GTTCTTTGCAGCACAAGTCCCAATTGCACTTTTATATTCGGGTGGTTATGTTAGTAACCACCCCCATGGCCTTCATTCCCAGACTAAGCTCAGGTTGGGCAGGGAACTATGTCTCTTTCCTAAATCATTGTAGTTCTAGAACTGCTATGGACCAGTGTCTGTGTCCCTCAGACTTCATATGTTGAAGCTCCCTAAGCTGCATGGTGAGGCTATTTAGAGGCAGAGCCTTTGGGAAGCACTTGGGTGATGCGAGTGCAGCCCTCATGCACGGAGTCAGTGCCCTTGGAAGATGATTTCTCTGTTCACCAAGTGAGGACACAGCAAGAAGGCAGCCATCTACACACCAGGAAGAGGACCCTCGGCAGGAGCAGAATCAGCTGGCATCTTAATCTTGAACTTACAGCCTCCCACACTGTGAGAAACAGATGTTTATGACTTAAGCCACACAGTCTGTGGTATTTGTTAGAGCAACTCACACTGACTGTGACAAGAACCCCACCCAGGATGGCCACGTAGTCATTGTTTGTTTTATTGAATGGTTGGCAAATCTGTTCTCCTTCTCACGAGAGAATATCACCAGCTACTTTCTCATCCCTCCCTCCATACCCGTAGTGCTTTATTTTAGAGGGCGCTGCCTGCCTGGCTCCTATCCCCAACCTCAGCTCTTGCCTACTTCCTCCAGTAGAACAACAGGAAGGCTTGCTGCACACCGGGCTCTGTGCCTGGGTCCCTTGCTTTGGAAGTGTCAGTCTCTTGAGACAAGAACCACTCTTTTCCCCTACTCCAAATGCAGAAACTGAGGCCTGGAGCAGGTGAGTTATTTGCCCAAAGTGAGAACTCAGTCATGGGCCGAGGCTGTAGTGCCTAATATGCACAAGGCCCTATAAATTATCCTGATCTGTATTTGTAGGATATTAGCCTCAAAAAAAAAAAAAGGAAAAAAAATTGCTGTCAAAGTCTGGATTCCCAGTTAGGATTAAGTCTTCGCATCTGAAAACTATGAGAGAAGAAAAGACTTCTGGGAACTTTCCTAAAGGCCAGGAATACATAGTGAAGCTGACACTGGTGATGCTGGTGACAGGTGGAAGTGTAGCATCCCTAGTGAACGCTTGTGTATCCCTTGTCCCTAACCTTGCTTCAGTCTCCATGAAGTCTCCAACTCCCTCTCACTCTCAGATCTAGAACTGCCCTTGCCAAAAAAAAAAAAAAAAAGTTTAGCTGTCTTTAGGGTTGTCTCTTTTGGTCCTCCCTTTGCTTTTTGTAACCATCCTATTCAGAAGCCATATGATCGATGTCTTTGGGAACATTGGAGAGGTTCACAGCCAGTAGCCGCCAGTAACAGGAGGACCTGTGGGTGCCACTTCCCTTGGTTCTGTAGAAGCAACCAATAATTAGCTGACTTGGGGGCTGAGGAAATGGCTTCTTGTTTGCTTTTTGTCTTCATCTGCATGATAAGAGTGCTTAAACAAGGAGGAGCACTCATCCAGAATTCCCATCCAGAATTCCTTTCTGGTGCCGGTGGAAAGAGCATGCTGAGGAGCTGCCCCAGAGGTGGCCCACAGTGAGGAAGGAGCTGGAAGCTTGTGGCTTCTCTGGCCAAACAAGGATGGGGCCTGAGCTTTTAAAGCAGGGGTCCCTTACGTGCTATGAACCCTGAGCCATGTAGACGGGAATAGGCATAGGCTGCCAGTCCTCGACCCTACCGGGGAGAAGTCTGTCCATGTGTTGACCTCCCTGTGAGAACCATCGTGGGGGTGCGTGACTTAGGCATTAGTGACAAAACTGAATACCAGGGCGGTGATGGAGCAGGTTTTATCTCCAGCAACCTACAGGTTGGAATGTGTGGTGCACGCACACTTGCGCACCCTACCACCACACAAGCCCGCCCGTGTCATTTGTGACCTCTGAGAGTGCATTTGCACGTTAGAGTGGACCAAACTCGAGTGGTTTTCGTCCTAGGTGGCCCACACATTGGCACTTGCTGGCTGTGACTGACCGGCCATGTTACCCTTTTTGTCCCAGTTTCCTCAGGTGCCAAGTGGGCATGTCATTGCCTACCTCAGAGTTGCCGTCAGGTCTGCACGTGAATGTGTGGAAGTGCCTGCCACGTGTTTGGCACCTCATGAATGCCAGTCCCCTTTCCCTCCTCAGTCCGCCTCCCTCAGTCTATTTTTGTTTAATTTTTTGTTTGTTCTTTTTAGTTCCATGTGACAGTAGAATGTATTTTGACATATTATACATACATGGGTTGAGGGGACCCTGAGGAAGGCTGGTGCAGGCTTTGAGGGGCCCTTGTTTTGGAGTTCTGAGCCTTTGGAGAGTTGATCCAGTGTCTTATAAATGCCATCAGCTACTTCATGGAGTTCACAGGGCAACCATCATGGAGAAGGAGGGAGAAAGGAGTTCTAACGTTTGTGAGAATCTTGTCCGTCCCCTCCGCTTGCCCTCTTTTCTCCACCCTCTCCTCCCAGAGTTCTAGAATGATACTATTTTAGAACTGGACGGGGCCTTGGATGAGGTCATCACCTTTTTCCCTTCACTTTACAGATGGGGAGACCGAGGCCCAGTGGTGTTCAGGGATGTCCCCAGGGTCCCGGGAGCTCTCCCTGGCTCTTCTCCTTCCATTCCGTAATGTGGCCCTCTGAGGAAACTGCTGAAGCGACAAGGAAACAAGCCCAGTTTTTCTTTCTCTAGTGGAAAAGGCGAGTAACTCACTGGGACTCTGAGTAGCGAGGATGAATGCCCTCCACTTCTCCCTTCATGGGCTCCTGGACTTCTGGGCATGGCTCCTAGAGGAGGCATTGTTGTGTGATGGCTTCAGAGTGGCCCAGGAGCCCCAAGGCGCCTTGCTCTCGTTCCCACTTTGGACCAAGCTGCCCTCCCCACCCCCTCTAGGATGTGCTGAGTGTCTCCCTAAGTTGTTTGCATTTGAGCAAAGGTGGCTGCACCTGGTCCTGGCTCTGTGGAAACACAGCTCTTCTCTGAAGCACTTAAGCCAGTGAGCAGTCTTCCTGCTCCATAAGGTTGAGGGGGTGAGGGTGGTGTAGCTCCGTCGCAGAGCACATGCTCAGCATGCTCAAGGCTCTGGGTTCCAGCACCAAACAAATAAAGAGAAAGAGAGAAAAGACTGAGGGAGGAAGGAGGTTGGAATGCTCTGCGTTCTCTGCGGAGCCCCATCTCTGTGGAGAGACTTGTCGGGGCCTTTAAGGCTGACAAGCAGAACTGGGAAAAGTATACACAGCCTTGCAAAACATCGACATTTTGGTATTTTAAATATCCTGGGAACACTTTGTAATCAGCTTACTTGTTATATGTAGGCAGCCAATCATGGTTATTATTTAATTTACAGTAAATAAATAACTAGACTTTTACATTGTTCAGTTTTCTCAGAGAGTACATGGTCACTTCTTTTTATTTATTTATTTATTTTGATACAAGGGATTAAACCCAATGTACTTTACCTCTGAGCTACACCCCAGTCCTTTTTTTAAAATTTTTTTTATTCTGAGGAGACAGGGTCTTCATGGGCTGTAACATTCCTTAAGTTGCTAAGTGTCTCCCTAAGTTGCCGAGGCTGGCCTTGAACTTCTGATCCTCCTGCCTCACATTCTGGAGTTGCTAGAATTGCAAGCATTTGCCACCATGCTTGCATGGACACTTTTTGTTGTGTGATGGCTTCAGAGTGGCCCAGGAGCCCCAAAGTGCCTTGCTTTCGTTCCCACTTTGGACCAAGCTGCCCTCTCCACTTCTGGGATGTGTACCTATGTTTGCATTTGAGCAAAGATGGCTGCACCTGGTCCTGGCTCTGTGGAAACACAGCTCTTCTCTGAAGCACTTAAACCAGTGAGCAGTCTTCTTGCTCCATAAGGTTGAGGGAGGGAGTGTGGTGTAGCTCAGTTGCACACGCGTGCGTGCTTGTGTGTGTGTGTGTGTGTGAGATGTAACATTGTTTATCTATTGCTATTTTTAAATTGGAGCTTTATATACATAAAGGTAGAATTCACTGTGCTATATTCATTAGTGTACATAGTGTAATTTTGTCTATTTTATTCCATATTCCTTCCTTTTCCTCTCCTTCCTCGCTCCCTGTCAATCTCCTTCCTCTCCTCCACCAACCTTCCCTCTTTTTGTGGGATCTGTCCCCCCACCCCTTTTTCCATACTTCTCTCTAACTCGCGCATATGGGAGAAAACATTTTACCCTTGACTTTCTGAGTCTGACTTATTTCACTTAGCACGATGTTCCATCCATTTACTAGCAATGTCACAGTTTCATTCTTCTTTATAGCTGGGTAAAACGCCATCATCACTCACTTTTTAATGACCTTTAACCATTCCCAACTTGCCCTCCATGTGAGACTCACTGGTTTCTCACATGGGCTGTAACATTCCTATGCTTGAAGGTCCTTAGGAGCACAATCCTTTGTTTAGCATTAACATTTCTAAACATCTCTCTTCCCCCCCCCCCCCAGGTCCTATGTATTCAAGTGAAAGTTCAGTCTCTTGACCTTGCATGACTGAAGACAGGGCTGCTTCTCTTTGTGATGGCAATATATCTTTATAAGGAAAACTCACCTGGGCTTCTTTATCCACCAAAAATAGACTGTGTTTTTAGTAGCCACCACAGGGAGCAGGGAGGAAATTGGTCGTTAACATATGGGAAACTCATTGTCAAAGGGAAGTCACGTCCAGAATCAGGAAAGCAAGTGAAACACCAACCCAGGGAAGCAACTTCATCTGGGAATTTGACTTCACCCCAAGAGTTCAAAGTGAAAACATACCCTCCCCACCCATCCAGGAAGCAGGATAAAGTGGCCATTTGGTGTGGTCTTTAAAATGCCTACCAGGGCTTCTGATGTTCTGTCTCCAATTAACAGTGCAGTCTCTGTTAGCAGCTCATCTTTGCAAATTGCTCACGGAACCTGGGTTTGGTTTTAATGTGACTGGAAAGGGAAGTTTAAAGGGCATCTGAGCCTGGTGGTTAGTGGATAAGCCACCCAGTGAAGTTGGAACACCTTTTTATTTTCATTTCCCCATCGGAGATGGGTTATTCTTTTCAAAAAGCAGGAAGAATTCAAAGTAAAGAAAAAAGTCAAAAGTCCACGGGCACACACACACAAAAAAAATCCGCTGATTTTAATCTTTAGAGCCCTTTTGTCACTGCAGAGATAAGCTGTCAGCTGATTCAGGGCAGACCCATGATGCAGGAAGTTCTGAGGTCATGACCAAAGTAGTTTTGTCTTTTAGGAGTAGGCATTTCCAAATGCCAGCACATGGGCACCTTGTAGATTGCTGCTATGATGTCTGACTTTGAGGCTCCTTGTTGTCAAACCCGGAGGTGGGGTGTGGTCCAGGGATCTTCATCAGTCACTTTTTGATCTCTGGTTGTGTTAGTCAGGTTTCCATTACTGTGACAAAATAACTAAGATTGTTAACTTTTAGGGAGGAAAGGTTTCTTTTGGCTTACTGTTTCAAAGGTATCTTGGCCCATTATCTTTGGACCTATAGCAATATGGTTCATCATGGCAGGAAACCTGTGGTTAGAAGTGTTCAATTCATAGTGACTGGGAAGCAAAGGGAGAAAGAAGGGGCCATGATCCTAATGTCCATTTCAAGAACACACCCTCAGTGACCTAACTTTCTCCCAGTAGGCCCACATCTTAAAGATTCCACCACCTCCCCATACACCATCAGCCAGGGATCAAGCCTATGGGGGAAATTTTATATCCAAGTGTTAGTACGGTTAACCTTCTGACCAGCTGGTTGTTGGGTAGGTACCAAAGAACAAGAGTTTTACCCCTACCCCAACCCCACATTTGGTCTGACTCCAGAGAAACAAGTCAAGTTTGTGGTAGTTCTTGTAACTTATTTTGGGAGAGAGAAGCAAAAGAGGAATTCCCAAGGAACAATTTCCCATTGAATTATTCACTCATCAAATAGCCATTGCATGCCTATTGTGCACCCACCTCCACCAGGGGCATGTTATCTCCCAGGATTATCTGCAAAGAGCCATAAGTCAGATGCTTTCAAAGTGTGGGCTGTGAAAGCTAAAGAGTATTCGTTTTGAATAATAAAACTATCTTTCAAAATCACAGGTATTAAAAACTAGGAAGGCAGAGCTCCAAATGAACAATCCTCTGCTTGTCTGAGCTTCTCAAACTTGTTTAGAATTGCTTAGGGAACTTGTACCAAGTATACATCTTGGCAGTAACCTCCGTAATTCAATCAGTCAGTCAGGTATAATAGAATCTGCTAATCCATCCACTGTTTTAAAATCAAGAGCCAGCTTAATTCTGATAAAAAGAGGCAGTAAGTTAGCCAAAGGTTTGAGAAGCACAAGTAGGGCTGTGGCCATTTTCAGGATGTATAGATCAGAATTACCCGAGAGACTCTTTCAAATAACACAGTCCCCCTGCCATCCCAGCCATTTTGACCTTTCTGCGTGGCGAGCCACTTGTATCCGTAAGAGTATTATATCCTTCTTTTAGTTATGTGAGTGAAACAGAAAATTTGACAACCAGCTGATCACAATAAAATGGTTTAAGACAAAGAGTTCAGATTGGGAGCTCTCAGAGGATGGTTTTGTTTTCCTTTGAAATGTTTGGGAGAAGGGATCTAAGGATTCAGTAGAGGTGGGCTGGCTGGCCCCAACCCCTTAGAACCTACCATGCTCTACCTTTTACATCCGCATGGACAGGAGGTGATGCAGCCCGTAGCAGAGCTACTCTCAGAACCCCCCTCAGACTTATCAGCTGTGTAATCTTGACTTGAAGCCCATGCTTGCACTTAACCTTTCTGTGCAGCACTCTGCTCATGAATAGCTGGTAACTATGGACCGTGAGATCCAGGAGAGATGATATGCTCAATAGCATCTGCCTCAGGGCCTACCAACAGGAAGGCTCTCCAGAAGACTTCTGGAAGCTTCACAAGCTCATAAATTCCCCCAGGGGCTCCTGTGAACCTGCAGACTCTGATGTGTCTAGTCTCCAGCAGGCTTGGAGTTTTACATTTCTAGCAGGCTCCCTGGTGAGGTCTTTGCTGCTGGTCTATGGACCACACTTTGAGTAGCAAGGAACTAAAACACACTTCCCTCTTTGGGTTTGCTGTGAACTATTAGTACAAACAGTAACTCAGTTAAGAAACTAGAAGGTTTTTTCCCAGTCCTAGAAATAGAAGAAAGTACCTACCTCTTACTCAATTCTGATCAAGGAAATTAGGGCATAGAAAGCTTTTAGGCATCAGCACTTACCTTCCTGGTCTCTTAAGTTATTAGTTGTTCCTAGTAATAGGTCTCTGATGTGGACTGAGAGTATCAAGAGCAAGGCTCCAGATGTGCGAAATTAAGATGGCCCATAGGGTCAGGGATTTTGTCTTCTTAGAGTTTCTTGAGTTTAGCAGTGAGCAATATAGTATGGGATACAAAATAAAGAAAAATGTAGTGTCTTTCATTCATTATGTTTTAGTCACTTTTTTCACTGCTGCAACTAAAAGACCCCACCAGAACAACTGTAGAGGAGGAAAGATTTATTTAGGGGCTATGGTTTCAGAGGTCTCAGTCCACAGACAACAGGCTCCATTCTTTGGGGATGAAGGTGAGGCCAAACATCACAAGAAGGGTGTGGTGGAGGGAAGCAACTTCATTGGTGGTCAGGAAGCAGAGAGAGACTCCACTGGCCAGATACAAATACATACTCCAAAGCCATGCCCCAATTGCCACCTCCTCTAGCCACACCCACCACTTCAGTTACCCCTCAGTTAATCCGTACCAGGGGATTAAATCACGGATTCGGTTAAGACTCTCTCAACCCAATCATTTCTCCTCTGAACCTTCCTGCATCATCTTACATGTGAGCTTTTGGGGGACACCTCGCATCCAAACCGTAACACATTGTATCAACTTTTTAACTTCAGAATCATCTGGCAAGACTGTTACATGCCGATTGCTGAGTCCCACCCCAGTCTTTAAGTAGATCTGGGATGGGGCCTACTTAAAGAATTTACATTTTTAACAAGTGCCCCATGACACTGGTGATCTCACATTGACTAGCCCAGCCTCATCTTTGAGAGCAGTGAGAGTTGGCCTGGGCCACCTCTTTCCCATCAAAGTGGTGTTGCCAGGAAGGGGAGTAAGTTTGGCCTATGATCAGGTATTTGAATGTCCGGGGAGGGGGGGGGGGGTTAGGAGAGATTAGATTTCTCAGCAGGAAGAACCATCCTGTTGGCACTGCTGGCTGTCTATAGACAGTGTGTCCCATACAATAGTGTTCCCAGAGGTAGGGGCTCTCTAACCTACCTGGTTGGCTAATCATCCTGGTGGGGCTTTTTCTGGTGCATATTATAAAGAACAGTGGGTTTTGTTGTGGCATACTTATCTACGCATGCAACAATTCTATCAGTTCTACTTCCCAGTACCTTCCTTTGCCCACCCCTCTCCCCTTCCCCCTGATGGTGGGGCTTTTTAAAAATAGAGCCTCCCCATGTGTCCTCAGATTCATATGAGCAGTCAGGCTCAGGACCTCTTGTGAAGAGAATGGTAGAGCACCAGGTGGCAATGGAATGCTGCTGCCCTTCTTAATGATTCTTGGAGTCAGTTCTGCTGGTCACCCAGCAAGCAAGGAAATCAAATCCTTTGTAAAAGTACATTTCCTCACTGGATTCCTAAAGTTATAGTACATAATTCTGGCTGTGTTTTCCAGTGTTTCATTCCCCAACAGAGAATGGCTTCCAGCCAGGAGCATCCAGCCAAGGGGATTTCATCCAGGGTGCCCCCCTGAACCCCACTCAGGAATGACACTGTCCACAGCCACTCTGCACCAGACATTCTTGAGAGTGAAACTTGTGATAAAAGACATAGATGACCAAATTCCAAAGAGGACATTCCCCAGACACTCAGTAAGCATAGAGCTTAAAGCCTGCAAAGAGATTAAAATTGAGGTAGCAGTTGAGATAAGAGACCCTTTGTTTTTCATGCACAGATGTGAAGACTAGTCTCCCATCAAGTTTTCTAATCACCAGCAAATGAGTGTCATGCCTGTATCAGGTGTGGTTTATAAAAGGTGACCAGGCACAGTCCCTGCCCTGATGGAGTCTACTGTTGGAGAAGACAGATACTAAATGACTCACGAGGAAAGCAGCTCTGTCTAAAGCAGACCTCCCAGCATGCTCCCTCCCCTTGCCCATTTTCATTTTCTTCATAGCACCTATTACTGGGACAGTGACTGGCCAAGTCCTTGCTTATGCCTCGTAGTCCTTCTTACAGAGTAGAAAATGTGGGCACAAAGTCCAGGCCTTTCACCTTGGTCTCATCCAGCCCCCCGGCACCCAGCAGGGTGTGAGAGCAGGTCCCTGCAGCTGAGGCCCAGAGGGGACTGCCAGGAGGCTGCTAGCCAATGGCTATCACTAGCACTGCCAAAATCTAGGATGGATACATACGAGGGCCCTGGACAGCCACAGTGATTCTCAAACCTCGGCTTATATAAAGATCGCCTAGAGGGCTCGTTACCACAGGGACTGCTAGGCCTCCACCCTGGAATTTCTAGTCCAAAATATCTAGGATGAGGCCAGAGAGCTTACAGCAAGTTCCCGGGTGATGCTGATGCTACCAGTCCCAGGACCACACTTCAGTGTGGCCCCGTCCTACCTAGTGGATAGAAGGAAATAGATTAGATGGCAGAGAGGCAGGAAGGCTCCTTAGAAACCATACCAGTGGCCAGGGGAGAGGAGATGGGCTCAGAAAGGGGACTGTAGACCGAGGGGGAGCACCACAGTCAGATACAAGTAGAATCCCACATTCTGTGAGGGATAGGACACAAGGGAGGAGAGGGATGAATCAGAGCAGCGAGGAGCGTGGGAGTGCCATGAATAGATAGGGGCAAAAGTTGGGGAGGGGATGGAGGTGTCCCTTTGGGACATGCTGTTTAGAAGTTCTGAGGAGACCTTCAGATGGAAATGTTAAAGGGGTCATTGGAAGTACAGTTCAAAACTTAGGGAAAGCTGAACCACAGCTGTAGATTTGGGGTCTTTCAGATAGAGGTGTAAGCTGATTCAGGGTCGGGATAAATGAGCTTGATGAAGAGCAGCTCATTGGAGCAAGAGCTCAGAAGGAAGGTAGGAGATACCATCACTTGTAGGGCGTGCAGAGAGGGATGTGAGTGGAGTGTTCAGAGGTGGCAAGGGACAAGAAAGTGTCTGCCACCAGGGAGGGGCAATATCAGTTATTGGAATATCTCAAAAACTGGGCCCAAATCTGACAGATTCCAGGGCCCCCTCAAATGAACCAGCCTCAAGAGAATGTATCAGAGGAGCTGGTCCAGCTGCTGTGAAGTCGGTAGTTTTCCTCCTTCTCATCCCACTTTGTAAAAAAGTAGAATTTTACTTTGCCTCAGTGATAAAGTCACTTTATGGTTCGCACGCCACCTTGTAGAACCTGCATAGCCAAAAAGTCTTTCCATTCATATTCATGGGGCATCATCCATGCATGACAGAAGAAAACCAAGGCAAAGACCCTACTGTGGTGGCGCAGGCCTATAATCCCAGTGACTGGGGAGGCTGAGACAGGAGGATCGCAAGCTTGACAACTTAGACTCGTCTCAAAATAAAAAATAAAATGGACTGGGGAATATAGCTCAGTGATAGAGCACCCTTGGGTTCAATCCCCAGTGCCAGGGGTGGGGGAAAGAATACCAAGGTGAACAATATGGGGGTTCATGATTAAGCTGAGGGTCATTTGTCGCCCTCTGTAAGCTAATTCTGGGGAGAAAATTATCTTTTTTTCCCTTTTGGATTTTACCCTGATCTAGATCTTCCTGGGGACCTTGAATCCACTGGGTTTGCAAGCATAAAAAGGATTCTCACAGCTCTTTCTGAACTGTTTAGGCAAGAATTAAGGTTACGGTGAGAATCGATTTCTGTGAACTGAGTCTCCAGGTGATAATTTGGAGTTTCACAGGTGGATGGTTTGCTTTTTAATATGTGATGCTTATTTAATTGTCTGCATCTTTGTGAGCTCTGGGTTTTGTTTTGTTAACTTTTTATTTATTTATTTTTTCAGTTGATAGGTAACACCGTGAACCCTGGTCTTTGAGAATACAGAGATGAAGTTTAACAAGTCTCTGAATGATTTGTGGTTATTCAGAATCGCAGCATCCTGCCCCTGAGGCTGCCGCTGTGAGCACTCACTAATTTCTGCTCTGTCTTTGCAGTTCTGTGCGGAGCTAAACCAGCCCATCCTGCCCAACATTCGCAAGTGGAAGGGGCCTCGGGGCTGCTGGAAGTCTGTTGTTGCTGAGAATCCCTCAAGTCCACTCCAGAAGGTACCCTCTCCTGTAAAACCTGGCCTTTGTTTTCACTTTATGGAAACCTACTTTTTTCTCCAAAGATGTTTGAAGATTTCCTTTGCCAGTAGGAAGATTTTCCTTTTCCTTTGATGCAATTTCTACCCAGTTTTTCAGTCTTTGCCATTTCTTTCTTTTTAAAAAATATTTTATTAGTTGTTAATGGACCTTTATTTATTTATATGTGGTGCTGAGAATTGAACCCAGTACCTCACACATGCTAAGCAAGTACCACTGAGCCACAATCTCAGCCCCATCTTTTTTTTTTAAGGATAGAATTTTTTTTATTCTAATTAGTTATACATGACAGCAGAATGCATTTCAATTTATTGTACACAAATGGAGCACAACTTTTCATTTCTCCAATTGTACATGATATAGAGTCACATCATTTATGCAATCATACATGTACTTAGGGTAGTGATGCCCATGTTATTCCACCATCTTTCCTACCCGCATGCCCTCCCCTCTCCCTTCAATCCCCTCTGTTCAATTCAAAGTTCCGCCATACTTCCGATGCTCCCTCCCCTGATATGGATCAACATCTACTTATCAGAGAAAACATTTGGCCTTTGGTTTTTGGGGATTGGCTTACTTTGCTTAGCATGATATTCTCCATCCATTTACCTGCTAATGTCAATGTTTTATTCACTTTTAAAGCTGAGTAATATTCCATTGTGTGTATATGCCTCAGTTTCTTTATCCATTCATCCATTGAAGGGCATCTAGGTTGCTTCCACAGTTTAGCTATTGTGAATTGAGCTGCTATAAACATGGAAGTGGCTACGTCACTGTAGCATACTGATTTTACTACTAATTTTAAGTCCTTTGATATGAACCAAGGAGTGGTATAGCTGGGTCAAATGGTTGTTTCATTCCAAGTTTTCTAAGGAATCTCTATATTGTTTTCCAGAGTGGTTGGGCCAATTTGCATTCCCACCAGCAATGTCTCAGTGTACTTTTTTCCCTATACCCTCACCGACACTTATTGTTGCTAGTATCCTTGCCATTCTGACTGGCGTGAGATGAAATCTTAGAGTAGTTTTGATTTGTATCTCTCTAATTACTAGAGATGTTGAACATTTTTTCATATATTTGTTGATAAATTGTATATCTTCTTCTGAGTAGTGTCTGTTCACTTTGCCATTCATTTCTCATGCCCTGGTTCTCATTTTATGTTCAGATCAGGAATGGTCTCCTTCCCAGATGGAAATGGGAGGTTAGAATTTAGGGAGGAAAAACCCTGTCCAGGACCAAGGCAGCAAATGAGTGTTTCTGTCCATTGCCCTTATAATCCCTAGCCACCATTCCTCTGCCACATCTGTGGAGAGCCCATTATTCATTGACTGAAAACTTGAGATTCACCTTAGTTCATACATTAAGTATTTGCTTTCAGTAGTGGGAATTATGAACATAGAAATGCTTTATTGAAATCTTTTGCAGATTTTTACTTTTTATCAGTAACATTCATATAATTATGGATAAATCTCTGTCTATAGACATTTTTGTTCTTACATATTATATTCCACATTTATTCATCTTGAAATGATTAGCATCAGTGGGGTATTAGATTTTCAAAAAGATTCCTGATAATTACTCATGATTTGAAAAACATATGATTTTATAATTCTCCCATAAATGTAGATGTTACTTTTTGTCACTGGTATACCTAGTGTGCTTGTAAACACATGTGAATTGCACTTGTGTGATTGATATTTACAACTTGGGCTCTTAAATCCTAAATGTATTCTGGATTGAAAGTGTCTAACCATTTATTTTTATTGGTCATAAGCTTCTATTTATTGCTGTTGAAAATAGGCCCCTATTCTTTACAGCTACCACTAAAAAAAAAAAAAATGCATCTAAGTTTCATTTCTCTGGGCTCAACATGGGGTGGAAACAGCAGCTGACCATGAGTCAGCGCTCTTCCCAGCAGGCTGACATGCAGCTGGAGTGGTATGCATCTAGTCCCAATGGCCTTAGCCCAGGGTTCTCCCCTCCGTTCACACAGAAGTGATAAGAACTCCATCTGTTTCCTATCAAAATAGCACTTTACATGTATGTGGGTGTTTGGGGGTCCATGAGGCTCTTCGAGTCCACTCCACACACTTTCTTCATTCATTTAACAGCTCGCTCATGAAAGGTGAGTTACTCTGTGCCGGGCCCTATGTTCTGTGCCATATGTAAATTGGTGAGAAAAACAGACCCTGAGACCCAGCTCTGTCCATGTTTACTCTTTACAGAACCTAATATTGATCCCAGCCCTTCCTTCAGGAAGCTCACAGTCTGTTGGAAGGACAAGAGAGGCATCCTGCTCCAAGTGGGAGAGTCAAGGCCTTTGAGCAACAGAATGCAGTTGCAGAAAGAACTGAGTTCCAACCACTTATCTCTCTCTGTCTCTATTCCTTCAACTGTACAATGGGAGCAATAGCCCCTTTCTTAGCCCACAGCATGAGACCTGGTTCTTAAAAGATAGCGTACACTGGAACTTTAGAATGCTTCAGTAGCAGAGCACAGGCCAGGTCCCAGGGATGTGAATGCCCAATAGTAGACTAAGAGCCGTGCCTGTTGTGAGCTGCAGCTGCAGTGTCAGGTCTAGCCAGTCATGGAGTATTGTTGGCCAGAATGGTCTAGTCCCCCAGATTCATTTTCATGTGAAATTTATTGAATTTTAAGTATGAACAGATAATCCAAAAGGATGTTTTAAAATGTGCGACTGAATGAGTCCAACAAAACATACCTGCAGGTCATGAATGAACAGTCTCTAGACAAGTGTGAGAAAGTCATAGCAGCAGCTGCCAGATCTCCAAAGTCTAAAATATGTCCAGGTGTCTTCTGCTCAGTTCTCTCCAGTCCTTGCCTCATAGTTGGAGGGGCAGTTTACACATGAGAAAGTGGAAACCTCAGAAGAAACAATTTGCCCCCAAGCCAGTGTATCACCAGGTAGTCAGGTGGTAGTCAGACTTCAGCCCGGTGAGCTACCTTTGTGGGAAAATCTGCGCTCCTCCATGGCTGTTCTCAGCCACCTGTATCAGGGGGTTGGGAAAGGCACCCAGGAAGGGGTCAAAAGCCACTGGTAGAGAGAGTAGTGTATATAGAAACGTGGGGGTAGGAAAGGCCCAGGGCTGCTGGGATCACATTGAGTAGGTGTGAGAGGTAGTATTGAAGAGGAAGGTGCAGAGTCCCCCATAAGGGCACCAGGGATCCCTGGAAGTTTTCAGGCAGGAGGTTTCCTTTGGCTGCACGGCTGGAAGAATAGTTTATGGGGAGACGGGCTTATCCGCAAAGCCAACAGGGTGATCGTATTGACCCGTTCTACACCTGAGGAAACGGAGGCTTAGACCAGCAGAGTGGCTCACCTGGGATGCAGAGGGACTGCGGCCCAGGTCTTCAAATTCTCAAACCACTCTTCTCCGGTAGGTAGGCAAGGAGATCCTGACAATCTGGAAGTTCCCCTGCTGGGCCCCCTCCTCCCTCCCACCTCCTAAAGCATACACATTCAAGTGAGGTGTGGACCTGAGCTAAAGTTGGGGACTCTCAGTGGCTGCCCAGGAAGATGACCTTGCAGGATCACTTCCTCTCCTTTTACAACTTAAAGGAGTAGTGACAAGCATAGCCGGCCTGTCTGATGACACTGATGGCTCCCGGGCCACGGGCACTGAAGAAGTGTCCTGATGACCAACAGAGCCTGCAGAGGCTGGGGTGGGCTGTGCTGTGGAGTCAGGCCTTTCTTCTTTCCAGCAATACCCGAGGGGCAGTGGCAGACACAGGCAGATTCAGAGCAGCCTTTCCAACTTCCAGAGGCGGCAGGGGGTTAGCTCCTGACTCTGCCCACAACACCCCAAAATCTGTCTGCCTCACCCACCAGCCTCAGCACCTCTGTCCTAGGCTTCAGACCTCTATATGCTTCCCCGTTCCTCTGCAGAGGGGCCTGGACCAGTTCCAAACCATCACAACTGTTAGCTCTGACCTCCGTTGACCCAGCAAATATCCAAGCACTTACTAGGTGCCAGTCCCCATTTGTGGTAAGCAGCAACTAATCAATAAGCCAAACACATCCCTTGCAGTCTTATTTTTGATTCTCAGCATTGCCATTTAGGGCTGTGGGATTAAGAGAAGTTACTTAACCCATCTGAGCAGCAATATCCTCATCTGGCAAATGAGGGTATGAGTTACTGCCTCAAAGCATGTGATGATGTAAAAGATCTCTCTGCCTGGTCAGGATTTCCCCTACCTCCCTCCAGAAGGGAAGAACAGAGGCCACACTGACTGTATGCAAAACTCTGAAATTGGCAGTGTATGAAACTATTTTGAAGAGTGAGCTGTGGCTTTGGTGGTATGCTTTTTGTTACAGAAACAATTCCTGTGTGTGTGAGTGATCTCCTGGAGCGGGACCCTGTTGTTCTCTCAGTCTATCTAGTCCCTCGGACATCTTTCCCCTGTGCCGGGCTCTTTTCCTTGTGCTGGGATGCACCTTATGGACTTAGAACTGGGCACCAAGACTGTGTCCTTCTTTGCTGCAGGGGGCCGGGTTCTCAGGATTCCTGTGGGATGCAACAGCCGGTGTGGAGCTGAGAGACGCTGCGTCACAGGAGAGCTCGCCCAGCAATGGACATGGGAAGCCCACGGGCCCTAGCCCATACCTCGCGAGGTTCAAGGTACCCTCTTCATGTCATCTGCACAGCCAGCTCCTTGTAAAAAGGAAAACAAAAAGTTTCTTTTGTAAAACCAAGCAAGAGGAGCCTTGTGTTCAGCTCTTTGCCTTGATTTGGTTCTCTCAGAGTTGGGTCAACACCTGCTCCTAGGGCTTCCTTGGCAGGTGACCTTGCCCAGTGCATACATGAAAGGGATCTGGAGGGACTCTCAGCCCTGATAACTCTGACACCTGGGCAAGGAGGAAGAGAAGCCCTGCCGCGCACACCTGCAGTCCCAACTACTCAGAAGGCTGAGGCTGAGGATCTCATGAGCCTGGAAGTTCAAGGCCAACCTAGGGAGACCCCCATCTCAAATTAAAAAAAAAGAAGAAGGTGATCATATAGCCAGTTCCCAAACCCAACACATCAGAAGCACCTAGGAACATTTTCTTAAAATCACAGATTTTTGAGACCTTATCCCAGTCAGAATTTTTAGAATAGGGCCTGGGACTGTCTATTTTTCAAAAGCACCTTGAGCAGTTCTTCTGCTGCCTGGCACTGGCTACTAAAGCCCTGCATTTGGCAGTGGCTGGGTTGGGGGTTACAGAGCTGCTCTCAGCTGCTTCTCAGGCCTCATATCCTTATTACCAAGGAGAGTTGTCTGGAGGAGATCCATAGGAGCTCTAGGTGGAAGCACCAGAGTAGCCCTGTGGCTGGCATCTCCAGATGCGCCCAGCCCTCAAGGGAGCCTCTGTCTCACAGAGTCAGGGAGCAGCTACACAGATTGGTCTGAGTGTCATCCTGAATCCACCTGGATGCCCTTGGGAAATATTAATAGACAGCAAAATGCCTAGAAACTGGGCAGCAAGAGGGAAGAGAAGCCAGGAGCTCAGACAGGTCCCCACACTGGCAGTGAATGGAACTTATCTTCATGGTACTTAACTGTGAAACCCCAGGATGGGCAGAGTGGTCCCTCACTATGGAGCGCAGCAAGCCCATCCCTTGCTGGGCCTGGAGACTCCCTTCATTCTGTGTGCTCCATAGCAGTTCTGAAGCCTGGGAGCCACCCCTAACCCCAGCATAGTTTATCTCTGGCCAGAGCCCCCTGTGTTGGAGGTTAGAAGGCCACCCATGCCCTCTCACATTTGTACCTACAGAAGCGGGGCAGGGCTCACACACCAGAGTATCTGCTGTAGTCCCCATCAGCACCTCTCACTCCCCTGCCTGTGGTATTGATGGCGTTCTGTCTGCACAGACACACCTGCGGTGCTGATGTGTGAGTCAGCCAGATTTGGTCTTTACAACTTCCTAATACCACATGGGGCCACTTTTTTTTACTTCGAGTGGCTGTTCTGGCTTTGGCCAAGCAGGGCAGCAGTCAGAACCAGCTAGTGTCATTAAAAGGCAAGCGGTTATTAATAGGCCGATAAGAAAATGCCATGGTGTCATGATCAGTGGGCCTAAATCCTCTAAAGTGGTACCCTCGCCAGGCACTTGACCTCTTGAATGTGACTTTAGGTCATATTCTAGGACAGGCTTGTGGTCTGTTACAGAGAGGAACTTATCCCTTCAGGCAGTACGTCCCAGCCCTGGCCTCAGGGTGGTTTCTCTGTTAGTTAAGGCCATAGCTGCAAAGCTGTCAGCCCAGATGGGTGGTGGTTGCAAACCGGGATCATATCTGCAAAACAAGACTGTCTACTCCATTCCATGGGGACTCCCCCTACCCCTTCCTTTCTTGTTAGTGTTTAATGTTTGTTGCTATGACAAATGGAAGGGCAGGATTGCCCAACTCTGAGGAGCTGAGCAATACTGCGATGGCCCAGAAGATAAACTGGCCTTATATGTACATGCCTGCCAACCGCAGAAGCTAAACAGGGGGGTGCAGGACTGGGGTGCACATCCTCTGTAGCTCAGCTTCTGTGAGCTTTGGGGGTTCACATGTGTAAAATCGGGTGAAAGTGAACATCAGGACAGAGTGGGCCCCAGAGGGACAAGCATTCAAAAGGGATTGAGTGGGTTATGTGTGGAGTTGGGGAAGAAACAGAACCCACAGTGGATCCTAGCAGGGGAGCCTCCGCGTTTGTTCACAACCACTTGCTGAAGGTACCTCCTCCTCTATGGTGACTTAGGAGGAAAAAATAAAATCTGACACTTCCAGATAGATCCAATTTTTCAGACTCTAGGGAGGAGTAAGGGGGGGGGATATTGGAGGGTGGACTGGTAAAGCAAAATTGGTCTTGTTCCTGTAGGTTTGTGCTTTGAACAGTCCCCCGGGGTATGAGCTGGCCTGTGTGGCCAGCCGTGTGCATGGAGCTGTTGTAACTGATACAGCAGACGTGGGCGTCTAAGCCTTTCCCTGTTACCTTGTTCCCTGATGCCCAGGTGGGAAGTAATGACTTGACCCTCGTTAACCTTCACCTGGCGGCACTGGCCCTCCCCGGGGGAGAGAATCCAAGCAAGAACCACAGTGACGGCCACCGGTTGGCCAGCTTTGCACAGACCCTGCAGGAAACCCTGAAAGGTAGGAAATGGTCTCAGTGACCGGGATCCACTTCTGCAGGGCAGGCAGCAGGAGCCTCTGCCAAGTTCGATCTCTCTCTCTGAAAAGAACATCATGGGCACAGGGGATGAACACACCCCTGTGTCTCATGGAATCCCACTGACCCAGTGTGTGGTCCCATCTTTGTCTCTGTGGATCTGGGGTGTAGGACCAAGGCATTGGCTTTTTGGCTTTTCAGCCTTTCTTGGATGGAAAGAATTAGGGGAAACAAATAAAAATATAATACCATCCATCCCTATGGTGACTCATCCTAGGTCCAGCTGCCTCAGACACCCACTCTGGGGTGTAAGTGCAGATCTGTACTCACTCTTGTGGAAGAGTGACCGGAGGTGACAAGGGGAAATGGCACACCCCTGTGAGTGGCAGTTTGAGTTTTTTTCCCTGATGAGATGCAGATCGTGATCTCAGATCCTTTAAGTCACCATGGGAGTTCAGATACACCACCGAACTGCTTCGAACTCCATCTGGTGAGGGAAGGGATAGTCCTCACCTCCCAGGAGTATGCAGAAGGGAAGTACAAGAACGGAGGAGGATTTCAGGATACACAAATTGACTCTAAAACACCACAAGGTTTAAAGAAGGCTGAAAAGAGCAGGGCCTCAGGAGAAAGGACACCCTTTATCTCTAGCCGCTACCTGCTAACACAGGTTTCCTGCATTGGGTTGACCCGAAGGGAAAGTCCACATGGCTGTAAAGATGGCAATACGTTCAATGTGGCTCGATTTTTCAGAACAGCAGCCTTCTATCACGGAAGATGTGCAGCTGGAGACTTGGAAGTCTCTATTTTTGAATCTTGAACAATATTTTCTAGCTTTCTAAGACTTCTGCTTGATAAATTGCCCTGTTTCCTTTTTAAAAAAAAATATTTTTTTAGTTGTAGTTGAACGCAATACCTTTATTTTATTATTTATTTTTATGTGGTGCTGAGGATCGAACCCAGCACCTCGGACGTGCTAGGCAAGCAGTCTACAGGTGAGCCCCAGCCCCAAATTGCTCTATTTCTTAAATGAAGGATTCAATAAAGATTCAGCTATGAAAATATTTCAAACATTGAGCTTACATTTTAAAAGTATTTTTTTCTATTATAATAAAATACACAGATTGTAAAATGCCATTTTGATCAGTTTTAAGTGTGCAGTTCAGTGGCATTAGGTGCACTTACACTGTAGTGGAGACACGACACCATCCACCTCCAAAACTTCATTATCTTCCCCAGCTGAAACTCTATCCATTAAATACTAACTCCCCATCTCTTCTTCCTCCCTTCTTCAGCCCCTGGAGACCACCATGCTGCTTTCTCTCTATGAATTTGACTGCATCTACTCATCTGTAGGGGGCACTGCTTCCACCTGGGGACTGTTGTGAATAGCACCACTACAAACACGCTTACACAAGCTTACGTTTTGAACCAGGACCTGCTCTGATCGGGAGGTCAGATTCGATTAGCAAAGTCCACTTCTCCTTAGGTGATGAGTCCTCAGGCTAAGAACAAGCAGAAGAGATGTTTACGCTGAGATGCCCCATCCAGGAAGTAGCTGCTGCGTAGGAAACTGTTCACCCACAGTTGGTCTTTCCCCTGAGAATGACTTGATAGCATTTTATATCTGTGGACATCTCCATTGTTCTCCATCTTAGACTATTCTTTACATGGAAGCTAAAAGGAAAGATGTCAGTTCCTAATTTCTCTGATAGTCTTAAGCAGTCACCATTTTTTCTCAGATATCCAGGGAGGGATCAGGTTTTTGTCAGGAAACAGGTAGGTTATTGTTCCAAACTGCCAAGGGACTGTTGACCCACAGCCTGGCTTGGCCTTGACCTGTCCATTTAGGGACAGTGACTTGTACTCCCTGTGTCCCCTACTTGTTAACTAATATCCAGTTAATTGTTAATGGGTAACACTTCAGAGCCAGGGATTCAGGAAGTGCCACAGCCTGTCTGGGCACAACAAGGGTGAATCAATGAACAGAAGGGTTCAGCTCCAACTAAGATAAAGACTGCATTTCCCACAGCAAACAGAAATGATTCCATTTGCCAAGTCCAGGCCTTTCCACCTTTATCTGGAATGTGCTCCTGGTTGACCCCAGCAGGTCGTGTGCCAGTGCTCTGATGAGATCATCTTCTTTCAGACTGGACCAGGGCTGGGAAACAGGGTCTCCCTCTGTGAACTCAGCAAGCGAGGAACAGGGTGCAGAGTCAAGGTTGGCATCTGGTAGGGTGTACCTCAGTGGAGACCCATTCCAGTGGTGGTCACTGGCGCTTTATAAGTCTAGGGGATCTAGACTTATAAAGGAAATCAGCCCCCCGCATTCTCCCCTTACCTCTGGGAACTAAAGAAACAAACCACTAGGCCCCCACCACCCACTCCAGGCTGATGGATGTCAAGGAGGCCAATCTGGGTTTCTGCAAGCCTGCAAGAACTGCCTCCTTTGCATTACCCACACAGATTTAGCTGCAAGAATAATCCAGATGAACCCATCCAAAGACAGAACCTTTGTTTTCACTCCCAAGTCACACACAACTGGTTGGTTGACCCTTGACACCAGCCTCTTCCTGCTTTCAGTACTGTCTTTTTGGGTGGTACCAGGGATTGAAACCAGGAGTGCTTTACCACTGAGCTACTTCCCCAGCCCTTTCTATTTTTATTTTGAGACAGGCTCTTGCTAAATTGCTTAGGGCCTCTCTAAGTTGCTGAGCCTGGCCTTGAACTTGTGATCCTCCTGCCTCAGTCTCCTGAATCACTGTGACCACTAGCATGCACCACCACGTCCAGCTAGAATTGTTTTTCTAACCAGTTTTTTTTAGGTATCCCAGTGAAAATCTCCCTCATACCACAGGAACCTTCTGCCTCCATCTTCCACAACTGTCATTTTTCTTTGAAAATCAATAAATGCAGCATTTCTCTGTTCTTTCAGAATCAAGCTGCACTTTAGTTTTGAGGTATTCCTAGGGCCCATTCTGATCAATACACATGTGATCAACACTTATGTGATCAACGTGTGCTTCTCTCGCTGGTGCCGCAAGTACTGTTCTAAGCTCACATTCTGGTAGCTCCTCAGTCCTCACTCTGTGAAGAGCCCTGGATTAGAAGACTGGCTCTGTGATCTTTGGCAAACTGTTCAGCTTCTCAGATGCTGAGCTTCCTACCTGCAGAGAGGACAGGGTAATAATGGCACCCACCCCATGGGGTTGTGACAGTTAAATGGCAGGCTGTCCACGAAGAGGTCAGCACAGAGCCCAGCACACAAGAAGGACTCAGGGACTGGTCATTAATGCTGGCTAAGAACAAGTTATTCTCAAATGGCTTTCCTGTTGAAAGTTGGTACTTATGTCTCTAGACAGCCTGGGCTCACTCTGTTTTGAGTGTTCAGGTTACTGTGATCTAGGGCCTCACAGTGGAGCCTCAGGGGAGGCACATGCCTGTCGCTTTGTTCTTGGCGTCCTCTAGAGGAGAGAGTCATCTGCAGTGCACGAGTACCCTCTGGTGGTGTCTTCTGTCATTTCACTTGGAATTTCTTGCCCCGTAGACATTACTGAAGCGTATTCATACCGAAGAAAAAGATTTACTGCACGTCTCAGATATTTTTATGATTTGACTTAAGAACTAAGGGTAGCTCTTAGAGATTCCCTTAAATCCTGCCTTTCAAATTGTTACATAAATGCCACTCCCTGGGTCATGTGTCTTCCCTGAAGTGAACCCTTGACCAGAAGGGTCAGGCAGAGTCCATGGGAATCCCTGGCTGCAGTTCATTGTTCTTTCAGAAGTCCTATTCGCTTTGCTTCTTGGTAAATACTTCAGAACTATTCCACTTCCTGTAGGAGTATATCATTCTGTGGGAGAAATGTCTCACTCTCAAGAGAAAATCTTTATCCTCTGGCCTTGATATTACTCTGTAGTCTTAAACTCCAGCAGAAATTAATTATTTGTATATAACACTCTTGTTAATCTGGTTCAGGAGACTCAGGCAAGGAGACCTGAGTGCATGTGAGAGGCCCCATGCCAACCACTTTCTAACCATTTGCAGTAGCAACCAACAGGAAGTGAACAATTCTCTCCATTTTTTCAACTAAAAGTTTGCCTGAGGCCAAGGAGCTGAGAGGTGGCAAAAGCTCAGATGCCATCTCAGAGTCATTCAGCTGTTTTCTCTAGAATTGGGGCCAGGATCCAGTGTTTCCAGATAATCTGCTCTGTAGGGTTTTGATTCATTTTCAGTAACTCTCTGTGGTTACTCTTCCGCCTTTGTTAATTTGGATTAATAAAGTGAAACAAAGACTTAAGGAGAATGGAGACAAAAGAATCACTGCTCCTCTTAGAGAATATGACTGTCGGTTTATTAAACTGAAAATAAATAATCCCAGCAAAAGAATTATGAAAACTGGCTAGTTCAAAAAAAATGAGAGAAGAAAAATGAATTTTTTGATATGTTATCAATAATTCCATTGAAAAATATAAAGAGCAAAAGCACACATTCATAATAAAATAAAAGATCACATTCATAATAAAAATTTAAAATATCAAATACTTGGAGATATGGTGATAAAATAAGGATAACTATAAAACTACTAAAGAACACTTAAAAGGACTTGAATCAATAAGCATGTAGTTCTCGGGTGGGAAGACTCCATAATTCAAGAAATCCATCTGTTTCATATCTTTGTGTGTGTTTACTGCACCAGGTTTCAGCTGTGCCCTGGGAGTGGTTCCCAAGCCTGCTGCACACATAACCCCTGAGAGCTGTAGGAAACACTGAGGACCAGGCCACCAGAGAGTACACCAGCATCTCCATGCCCCTAGGACCCCTGATTTCTGGGGGTGAAACTCGGGCATTAATATTTTTTGGAACCCACATTGTCCCAAGGGCTTTTTAGAGAGTCTCCCTCCTACTTCAATTAGAGCAGCTCCATTTGTACCCATTTACTTTGCAGGCTTCCTACAGGGTTTCATTTGAGAACAGGAATTTCCAGTTAAAAAAAAAATCACACACACACACACACATATACACATATGGGACAGAGGTTATAGCTCAGTGGAAGAGTCTTTGTCTGGCACATGTGAGGTCCTGATTTTGATTCCCACTACCACAAAAATGAATAGATAGATAGATAGATAGATAGATAGATAGCCAGCCAGCCAGGTTTGGTGGTGCATGCCTGTAATTCCAGTGGCTTGGGAGGCTGAGGCAGAAGAATAGCAAATTCAAGGCCAATCTTAGCAATCTAGTGAGGCACTAAGCAACTTAGTGAGACCTTGTCTCAAAAAATAAAAAGTGCAGAGGATGTGGCTCAGTGATAAAAAACCCTCTGGATTCAACCCCCAGCATCTAAATAAATAAATAAATATAAGGAAAAAAATGTTTGAAAACTACTGATTTGAAGCAGATCCATCTCTAGGATATACTGATAAGCAGAAAAATTAGGTGAGATCTGATAGATGACATTGCTATGATTTTTGTGAAAATAGATGAACTTGTCTGTTCATTTATGTGTAGAATAGTAGGAGGCATAGGAACAAGGAACAGTGTTCTCTGGCCAGCTAAGAATAAGAACATTAAATGAAGTTGACATTGGTTTACTAAAAAAATCAAATTTTAATTTTCAAATCACATTAGCTATCAATATTCCAGTAATTTTAATGAAGGGTTATTAAAATGTATTATAGTACCAGCTCAAGAATAGATGCACAGGAGGGGAGAAAGCTTAGAAACAGATACATGATGCTCAAGATGTTTAAATGACAGGTTGGTTTTACAATTTAGTTGAGAAAGAAAGGATTCTTCAAGAAATGACACTGTCAGAGCGGTCAGTTGTTTGTGGGAAAAATAAAAGTAAATTCTAAGCAGGGTAAAGAACAAAACCTTAGAGATGATGTTTTTTATAATTCAGTGAATATATATATATATATATATATATTTATTTATATATATTTTTTTTATTTTTTTTTGGTACCAGGGATTGAACTCAGGAGCACTCAACCACTGAGCCACACCCCCAGCCCTATTTTGTATTTTATTTAGAGACAGGGTCTCACTGAGTTGCTTAGTGCCTCACTTTTGCTGAGGCTGGCTTTGAACTCGAGATTCTCCAATCTCAGCCTCCCGAGCCACTGTGATTAAAGGCATACGCCACTGTGCCTGGCTCTAGGAAAATTTTGTTAGATAGTAGTACATAAAAAAGTTACACACCTGTGCTTAGTTGATGTGCTTCAACTGGTCATAGATCAAATGAAAAGGCAAGTGAAGACCAGAGAAAGAAAACAGCTCTGAGATATAATATATGAAGAGTTCATGTAGGTCAATAAATAAGCCTCTAGTACCATATACAAAGAAGAGACATGATGAGCCAGCCAGCACCCAGAGCTCAGTTTCCAACACTATTCTCAGATAAGGGCTCCTGAAGAAGGGCTTCAAGGACAGGATGATCCTGGCGCATCTTGGCCACTCGGGAAAGATGAAGTGCCCACACCAAACCTATGGTGGGTATGTGTCAAAAGGAAACTGGAGCCAACAGAAAGAGCTCCCGAAGATAGAAGCTAGAAAAAATGAAGCAACAAAGTAACATATTAGTGGTTTATAACTCATTGTATAAAATAAATAAATATTCAGGAGTCCATACTGATACAGGTGATTGAATAAATTAATAAATGATGTAATCCCAGTGGCTTGGGAGGCTGAGCCAGAAGGATTGAGAGTTCAAAGCCAGCCTCAGCAAAAGCGAGGTGCTAAGCAATTCAGTGAGACCCTGTCTCTAAATAAAATATAAAATAGGGCTGGGGATGTGGCTCAGTGGTTGAATGCCTCTGGGTTCAATTCCTGATACCGCCCCCCCAAATTAAAAAATAAATCACAAAGAAGAGGTAAATCTCCTGCACAGCCGAATTTCATATAATTTACATAGAGACGGGCAACCCCAAAGAGAGGAAAAGTGACTACCAATAGAAAGAGGCTTCCATTTTCACGTACCAAGCTAATTTTCTTCAGTGGGGATACTCAATGTTGATAAAGGATGCAGAGAGGGGAACTTTCTTACCTTGCTGGGAGGGTTGACACCGGAGCAGCCTTTGGAAACTAGGCTGGCACAGTCTCTCCAGTGTCTGGACTGGTGGCCATGTTGTTTTTCTGTCCTAGATTAAGGACAGAAAGCAGGGATACAGATATTTGAATGAGTTTCTCATTTCAGCATTATTTACAGCTTTGGGAATAGCCTTAGAAGTTATCCGCAGCAGGAGAATTATAAATCATGTCCATCACCATGGGTGATGGATGCTGTAGCTGCTCATTGAAGGCCAAGGAGGGACCCAAACTTTCCCCTGGTCTAGTGATCTGATTTAATTAATCCTCAGGCAGATAGAGCACAACTGCCAATCAGGGAGTAGCATTGCTTACCTCTCCAGCCTCATCTTGAGCATCTGGCTTCTTGACACCCTAGATGGTAGAAGCATCCAGCTATTCTAGGTACTGCCCCCAACACATACACATGAAACCAGGCAGTTCCCCAGCTCCCTGCCCTTGTGCGGGTTCCAGCTCACCTTGCTGCCCTGAGTACTCCTGCACATACTCTAAGACCCAAGTGAGCCATCACCACCTCCAGGGAGCTCCCTGACCCCCCTTCCTTGTGCTATATTCTCTGTGCTTCTGGTTTGATACTCAAACTCCACTCTTGTCTGTCTGTCCATTAGATTGTGAGCTCCTCGAGGGCAGGAGTGTGTTTTATTCATCTCTGAATCACCCGCACAGTAGGACCCGAGAAGGTGCTCTGTAAATGTCTGTTGGGCTTTTGTTAAACATGTGGGCAAGACCCTAAGGCCTTTTTCCACCATTGGATTCGAATAGGGGTGGTTTCTGTGTTACCTCTCCTCTCCAAATTAACCTCCTCTTAAAGTTCGGGGGCAACAGTTGCACAAAACATTTAGAAAAATAGGGAGAATGAGAAACCTGCTGTAGTCCTCACCCTGGAGAGTCAGCACAATCCCATTTCAAGCGACTGAGGTCAAGGTCGAGTTTTGCTTTCTACTTGCTCCTTAATTCCTAATTTTCTTCCTTCCACTTATAGGAGAAAAAGATGTCATTATTTTAGGGGATTTTGGCCAAGGACCAGATAGCAGTGACTATGATATCCTGAGGAGGGAAAAATTCTACCACCTGATCCCTGCCCACACCTTCACCAACATCAGCACCAAGAATCCTCAAGGCTCCAAGTCTCTGGACAACATCTGGATCAGCAAAAGCTTGAAGAAGGTGTTCACAGGTAGGGGAGGACTTCCTCATGCTTCCCCATGTTGAACAATGCAGTGCTATCTTGCCTCCTCTGTGGAATTTATGGGGAGAGAAGGGGTCACCATTTAGGTAGTGACCATATAAGTATCATTCATTTGGAGACACTTTTAAGCATGAAGGGGTGTGGCACACAATTAAAAGGTGCCGGACTGATCTCAGGCAAACCTCATTATAGATCATCCCTGTAAATTAGCAGAGTTTGGCTAATTCCCAGATGAGCTGATAACTTACCTGAACTTTAGTCATTCAACAAACATTTGTCAAATGTTCAGACACTGTGTTGTGGATGGGACTCCCCAACATGCTGTTATCCGGTGAGCAGCGTCAGGAGGAAAAAAGTGCTCAGTGCTTCACAAGCAGCAGGGTGTGGTGGGTCATCTCTTTTCTCAGGAAAAACAACCATTCTCCCCAACTATAGCCTGCTGAGTCAGGAGACAACTAGTCAGCAAAAAGGAGGGACAGAGGGAGGGTGTGTGTGTGAGTGTGTGTGTGTGTGTTTGTGTGTGTGTGTGTTGCTGGGGATTAAACCAAGGTCTAGGCAAGCTGTCTGCCCCTGAGCTGCACCCTAAGCCTCATAGTAGGATCTTTTGATGAAAGACTAAGACAGTGGTTCTGAACCCTCCCTAGACATTTACCAAGTCTCCAGATGCCTATTATGCTTCACTAAGAAATTTTAAAATAATAAAAGTAGCAATGCCTGGGTCCCCCATGAGTCTTAACATGCAACCAGGACTGAGAGACCCTGGGGACTGGAATTTCTAGTCCGGGGGACAGGCACTCAGCTCTTGGAGGCGGACTCTTAGGGATCCCTCCGCTGACACATGGGCCGCTCTGACCTTGCACCTGCCGGCCTGATTCCTTGGTCTCTTCCCTCTCCCTTCAGGTCACTGGGCTGTGGTGAGAGAAGGTCTCACGAACCCTTGGATTCCAGATAACTGGTCCTGGGGCGGAGTGGCTTCTGAACATTGCCCCGTGCTTGCTGAGTTTTACACAGAAAAAGACTGGAGCAAGAAGGAAGGTCCTCGGAATGGCAATGGGGTCACCTTGGAGCGGAGTGAAGCCAACATTAAGCATGAGCGATGATGACCCCTAACTTGATTTTTTCGCCCCCCCGACCCAGCTGGACACAGGCCAGGAGTTGGCCCTTCCTGGTGACAGTGCAGGCCCTTTCCGTCTTCATCTGAGGAAGTCTGCACATGGGTCGTGGCCCGCTGTTTCCCTCGGGGACATTTAGGACCTCTCCTGGTGGGTGGGGGAGCATGTTGGGCCCTTGCTGCACCAGGCGGGCACAGCAGCAGCCCACAGAGGTCTGAGATGTCTCCCCGGATGCACTGAGCTCAGCAGCGTGGGGCTGTCACTGCTGGTCGCTTGGCCATGTGAGAACAGCCTCAGAACTGAAAAGCCCAAGCCCTGGCTGAGCCATACCAGAGCTCTGATCTCTGACCCACCAGTATGTGATGTTCCGGCTGCAAATTGCAGAAAGCTTTTAACTGTGATTGAGCACTCTTCTCAAATATTTTGAGTGGTGATTTTTAGTTTGTTTTTGAAAAAATAAACAGATTAACCTGCCTGGCTGCAGTGAGAGCGTGGGACAGGTTTCCCTGCTGCGTGTTTTGTCACCTTCCTCAGGTCCTCTCCTTGGAGCTGTGGCCCACCCTACCCCCTTTACTCTCCACCCTAGACCTGCAGGGGTGCCTCTCCCACCCTGTCACCTGGCCTTGGCATGCTGCAAAACCTTTCTTTTATCCCCCTCCCTTCCCCAAGCTCCTTCTCAGTCCTGACTCCTTTGCCGGACTAAGAGTTCTTGAGCACCCCTTGGGCTTCTGGGCACTTCCCTATGAGAGGAGAATTCTATCCCAAGGACATCTCCTCCTCCCTCCTTCCCACCCACTCATTCTCCATCAGATTCCTAGCCCAGAGCCTCCCCTTCATTCATTGCTGTGAATATACAATTGGGTTTCATATCCACAGATTCAGAGGACCTCGGGTTGAAAATACTCTAAAAAGAAATGACAGCCCAACACAGTGGGGGCACACCTGTAATCCCAGCAACTCAGGGGGCTGAGGCAGTGTCGGGGGGTTGCTGAGCCCTACCCTTAGCCTTGAACAATGAAGGTGTGGAACTGGCTTCCACCGCTGGAGGCCAGCGCTCCTTTCTCTGCCAGCTGCCACGTGCACCCAGAGCTTCCCCAGTCCATCCTACTCTGTCCGATCTGCCCACTTGGAATCCCTCTGAGGCAGTGTCATGTGGGTGCTCCTGTGGGTGCCCAGCTAGAGCCCAGGATCCATGAGCGGGGGTGGCAGCCTTGCCCAAGTCCCTCTGTTCAGGAGCCATCTGCCTTGACACTCGACTAAATCAGGGTCTCTCCAGGTGAATTGGGCTGGCACTAAATAAACACACAGACACAGAAAGTACCTTTTTCTTGGGATTCAGTGACAAAGGAGGCAAAAGAGACAGGCAAAAAAAAAAAAAAAAAAAGCATTCCTGAAACCCTGTTTATCAGGGGGAAGACACTGGAGAAAGTTCCACCCAAATAAGGCAAAGAATTGGGTTTCAGGGGGATGTAGCCTACTCCCAGAGCTTAATTCCTTGCCTAGCAAAGGGAGGTCCACCTGCTTTGGCTCTGCCAGCAGAAGCCATTTTCACACCTTCATTGCTGAAGGCCAAGGGTATGTACGTGCTCAACTCCTGTTCATGGAACCGACAAGGCAGGAGGTTGTAGGTTAGAGGCCAGCCTCAGCAGCTTAGTGAGACCCTGTCTCATATATAAAAAGGGTTGGGGATGTGGCTGGGGAATGCCCCTGGGTTCAATTCCTAGAACCACAAAAAAGAAAAGAAAAAAATCATGTCTGTACTGAACATATACAGAAAACACATAGACTTTTCCCCTGAACAGTACAGTACACAGCGATTTACAGAGCACTTACACTATATTAGGCATTATAAGTCATCTAGAGATGATGGTAGCATACACTGAAGCAGTGGGAGGATCACTTGAATCCAAGAATTCAAAACCAGCCTGGGCAACACAGACCCATCTCAAAAAATAATAAAGTACATGGGAGGGTGCGTGTGTGTGATATGTAAATACTGCTCCATTTAATGTAAGGGACCTGAGCGTCCATGGAGTCTGGCATCCTTGGTGGGGGGCGGGGGAGAGATGCTGGAATCAGTCCCTTGTAGTCACTGAGGGATGACTGTTGATTCAGGATACACAGGAAGTGAAACCTGATGTCTCAAGGAGGGAGGGTCCTTCTGTGGTTGGGTCCCCTCAGGCACTTCATCACGGTGTCCCAGTGGCACCAGGATAATAATGCCCATTTCACACCTGCCAAAGATCACTGTTATGGGTTGTATGTGAGGTGTCCCCTGAAAGCTCACGTGTGAGACAACACAAGCGGGCCAGAAGGGGAAATGATCAGGTAGGGAGAGCCTTAAACGAATCAGTGAATTGCTCCCTGATGGGATTAACTGAGTGGTGACTAGAGACAGGTGGGTTGAGCTGGAGGAGGTGGGGCATTGGGGGTGTGACTTTGGGGTATATATTTGTATCTGACAAGTGGAGACCTCCCTCTCCCCCCACCTCTCTCTCTCTCTCTCTCTCTCTCTCTCTCTCTCTCTGCTTCCTAATCTTCATATGAGCTGGTTCCCTCTGCCACACTCTCTACCATGATGTTCTGCCTCACTTCAAGCCCCGAGCCCTGAGGAATGGAGCCGGCCTTCTATAGACTAAGACCTCTGAAAGTGGGAGCACGCAGATAAACTTGTCTTCCCTAAAATTGTTCTGGTCAGATCTTTTAGCCAAAGCAGAAAAACAAAACAAAACAACAACAATAATAATAATAAAAAAAACCCTGACTGAAACAGTCACATTAATAGTAAATAGATAGGATCCAAACTCTGATGTTCTGAGTTGAAAACCCATGGTCACATATCAACTTTATGTTTAACATTAACGTGAAAGTATAAAAATAGTGGAAAGCCAAGTCATGAGTTTAGATTACTTAGGTCACCCCAGTTTCCCATGGAAGCTAAGGGTTTATTCCTCTTTGCACACTGAACATTTTGTGTGGACCAGGACTGAATCCACTTGTCACTAAACTGATGGGCTGTGACAAGGGCCTATCTTCTACCAAAGGCCACTGGATCCCAAGTTGTATCACTCATCTCGAGCTCAGGAAGGAAGCCATCTTCTAGGGGCTCAGAAGGTAATAGCTGTGCCCATCTGGGGTGGGGGGGTGTGGCTCTCCAGGGGGAGGGTGAGCAACTTCTGTCTGTCAAGTCGAACCTTGAAGGAAAGCAAGTCAACATTCAAAGCCCTGAGGGCTGAAAAAGATGCTGCCCAGCCAGGCACATCCTTGGGTGTCTCATCTAAAAGTAAAACCTCCTTCACCAATCAGGTGCCCCAAATCCTTTTAGCCAGGTGGCTGTTTGCACCAAAGCTGGGGACATTAAAGTTTTCTTATTAAGTGTGTATGTGGGTCCAATCAAGTGACCTTTGGGAGAATTAATCCACTTTGAGCTGAATGACAGCCATGCCTCACTGGCCTATTTGCTTCTAACGTGGGCAGGTCACCAGGAGGTGTGCCTGCAGGGCAGCTGTTCGTGTTTGGGACAGGCCCACTTGGTTTTTGCTTTTTTGGTTATGGTTTTGATTTTTGCTTTGTTGTTGTTATTAATAAACAGTATTTGTTTTTAATAAGCTGTATTTTTAAGAGCAGTTTCAGGTTTTTGGAAGAAGTAGGAACTAAGGACACTTTCCCCTCTTGCTAATATTGGCTGTTACCGCACTAACATTGCCATGTTAACTTACTCCATAATTTACATTAAGGTTCACTCACTGTGTTGTGTATCTTGTGGGGTTTTGACAAATGTACAGATGCTTCTCGATTACACCAGGGTTACAACCCAGTAAACCCATGGTAAGTTTAAGATATTCAATAAAAAATAAAAATTAAATATTTATTAAATAAAAAATTTAACATAACCCACCGAACGTCACAGCTTGGCCTTGTCCCCCCCTTAAATGTGCTGAGAACACTTGCATTAGCCAACAGTTGGACAGAATCTTCTAACACAAAGCCTATTTTATAATAAAGTATGGTATCTCTTGTACAATTTACTGATCACCTATATCCAAAAAACTGCTGGCAAAATTGTACAGAGTTGTGATACTCAGGGCATGATCCCATGTCTCTCACCCAGGAAAAGAGCAAAACTCAAAGTACAATTTCTACTGATTGCATGTTTCTTTCACACCCTCATAAAGTAGAATAATGTTAACCCAGTATAAGTTGGGACTGGTTGTATGATGGCATATGTCACATGATAGTATTATACAGAAGAGTTTGACTGCTGTAAAAATCCTCTATGCTCTGCCAGTTCATTTCCCGTCCCCCCTTCCCTTCTCACTGTCCCCATAGTTTTACCTTTCCTGGAGGGTCATGTAGTTGGAATCTTACACTGTGTCCTTTTCAAGTGACTTCTTCACTTAGCAACATGCATGGGTTCTCCATTCATTTGTGTGCGTGTGTGTGTGTGTGGCCTGATAGCTCCTTTTTCTCACTGAATTATATTCCATGGTGTGGAATTGATCTGCTCTTCTTTGCATGGCTTCTAAACCCCTGCTCTTCTCCAGTGGCCTCACCCCTTCCCAGTATACAGTTGGTGGCATTTCTGTTTCCTTTCCCTCTGCATTCTTTTCTTCCTTCTCCAGTTTTCTGAGAAGGGACCTATCTGAAGGACTTTGTGGGAGAAGCCAAGGGAAGTCTCTGGGTTTGGAGAAATTGGATTTGGAGAAGTGAAGGGCTTAGGTGCTGGGGCAGCTCTTAAAGCCTCACTGGCACCAGGTCGCGGAGCCTCCTTTCTGGGCTCTCCGTCACAGCGCACTGCAGGCAGCCTGAGCCCCTCCCTTCTTGCCCACAGTCCGGGACAGATCTGAGATAGCGTCAGCTCCCCACTCTGTGTGCAGGAGGCAGTTGGCAATTGGCAGCAGCTCACAGCCATCGCTACAGTGCTTACTGGCACCAGCTGGGACTTTCTCTGCCAACCGTTTCAGCAAGAATGACTTGAGGGCAGCCTCCTGGGCCTCAAGTAACTGGCCCACAAGGTGGCTCCCTCACTGCCACTCTAGGGATGACCTTGGAAGCAGAGATAAGTGTGGCCTCTGTTGGGTGCTGCACTCTTCTGAAGCCAGGGGATGTCACCTTCTGCTTTGTGTTTCTTTGGTTCTGATGGTTGGGTCTCTCCTCTGGGGCAGACCCCATCCCACCAGGAGTGGGCAAGAACCCCAACACCTGTGTTTTCAGTTCCAGGGTCTCTGTGGCTGCACAATGTGCGTTAAGTCCCCACCACCCATGGAAAGCAGTGGAGGTGAGCGCTTCTCACCTGAGACTGCCACAGTGTTTGTTCTCAATGGACAGGAATTAATTACTTAAGTACCACTCACTTGATCTGAGTGCCCTTTTTCAAATAATCTTTGCCCACGCTTATGCATGCTTTACTATTCTAGGTAATTTATATTTGACCCAAGGAATTTACAAATCTTAATTGCTTTTATTTGGGATTTGCAACAGTGCAGACCCCAGATGG